ATTGTTGTTTGGCAGGCCCAGGCTGGATTTGAACCCGCCAGCTCAGGTGTATGTGGCTGGCGCCTTAGCCGCTTGAGCCACAGGTGCCGAGCCCCTACATTCTATTTTTAATAAATAGATTGTTTCCTAAAAACAGGGAGTAAATACCAGGAAGAACACCAGGTGACCAAAGACTGTAATATTTATTTTAAAAAGAGAATAATCTGAAGTGTGGTTCACCTTTCCTACTTCCCCTTTGTTACTGTCATCTTAGAAAAAAAGATAAGACAGATAAATATTCCTAAGGAGTCTATGGTATTGGAGGGTTGGTGGGAAGAGATCTAAGTCTCAAAGGGAAAGGGACAGGACTGTGGAACATGGGATTGCAGTTTATACTATTCAAGGATACCAGAGAAGACGGGTTCTTCTAGTGGAGCAGGAAGTTGGTTTCCAAACAACCTTTACAGGGTATTCATAAAATTTGTGGCAGGGAATGACAATGCGTTTGGATAATTGTTAAAAGTAAAGGGGCATTACACATCTGGACATGTCACGTTTTCTTTATTATTTTATTTATTTTTTTGAGGCAGGGTCTCACTCTGTTGCCCAGTCTAGAGTGCAGTGGCATCATATAGTTCACAGCAAACTCAGACTCCTGAACTCAAGCTATCAGCCTCCTGCCTTGGCCTCCCAACCAGTCAGGGCTACAGGCTCTTACCATCACACCCAGCTAATTTTTTCTATTTTTGGTAGAGAGAGGGGCTTGCTGTTGCTCTGGCTAGTCTTGAACTCCTAACCTCAAGTGATCCTCCCATCTCAGTCTCCCAGAGTGCTAGGATTACAGCCATGAGCCGCTGCACCCAGCCTCATATTCCTTTTAGTTCCTTACCTCTGTCCCTGCTTTCTCTGCAGCCCTTCAGTCAGTGTTTGGCCCTGCAGCCCGAAGAATCCTGGCCGTAGCTCACTCTCACAGCTCCCTGGGTCATCTGCCCTCCTCCCTGGATACCCTCCCAGGATATGAGGAAGCTCTTCACATGAATCGCTTCACAGTAGCGAGGAGTGGGCAGAAAGCTCCGGACCTACCCCCTGTCCCTGAAGAAAAGCAACTGCCTCCAATGGAAAAGGAGGCTTCTTGAGTAGAACACGCCTTAGACTGATGGGAATTGTAACTTTATAAATGAGA